CCCAAGGACTGCAGACAGAGCCAGTTTCACTATTTGTGGGACTGGGGCTGTAAAACTAGTTTGCTTTCTGTCTTTCACTCCCCTCACCAACACGCACACCTCAGCTGTAACTGGTTTCTGGCCACCATGATCACACTATTTTACAACGACATGGCTTTAGGGTTCTGGAGGCAATCACTGCAAAATAAGAGATGGTTTGCATACTATGGGGCGTGTGGATTTTTTGTCTTCTCAAACAACCTACCATAGAAGTTGAGCCTTACTAATGCATGCAATTTTACTGACTGCTCTTTTTTGCTTTGGATCAATGAAGTGTTGAAGGAATTGCTGAAAGGAAGAATGAGAAATCTATTTTATTATAAAATGGAAGATTCATTTCTTCTTTATGTTCATTATTTCTGAAAATTATGAAGTCCCAAGAATGGGTCTCACCACAGACATCATGCTGTAATCAGGCAGGCATGGACAAAAACATCAAACAGATGAGAACTCATGGGCCCTGAGGTTCCCAGCACTGATGGTTGGAGGCCAAACACCATCCCTACATGCTGGACTCTGATGAGCTGTGACAGCAGCACTGAGTGAAAGGGGTTGATATTACGTTTGCCTTTTCCTCTGGCTGCTTTCCCACAACCCATCACTATCACCTCCCTAGGGAGAGGATTCTCTGTGTGTGAAGTTTTCAAATCAAAACTGGATTCTAAAAGCTGTGCTCTAGCCCAGTTAGGAAGTCCATAGGATTGTAGGCGATAAGGGCTGGAAGGGACCTCATGAGATCATCTAGTCCAGCTCCCTGATCAAGGCAGGGGCATCCCTGACCAAACCATCCCAGCCAAGTGTCTGTCTAGCCTGCTCTTGAAAACTTCTGAAGATGGAGATTCTTCAATTTCTCCAGGTAGCTTTTTCCAGTGCTTGACCACTCTCAAAGTCAGAAAGTTCCTCCTAATTTCCAACCTAAATTACCCCTGCTGAAGCTTGAGGCCATTGCTTCTAGTTCTATCCCCTACAGCCACACAGAAAAAAAACATTTCCATCCTCTGTGTAATTGCCTTTCAAGTATTTGAAGACTGTTATCGAATCCTTCCTCAGCCTTTAGACAAATTTGTGGGTCTGATGCTGTGTAAAACACTCTGGGCTATGTCATACAAGAGGCCAGATTAGAGGACTAGGATGTTCCTTCCTGGCTTTAAACTTTGTGAAAATCTCAATCATATCACTGAGCTCCTGCCTATTTTCTCCCAGTCAGGCCCTGACTTCAACCACTTTAACTGTGGCACTGAGAACATCATGCAATATGGAGAGAGTTTCTCAGTGATTTTTTGTTTTGCTAGTTTCTCTTATTGTTGCTTTATTTTCACAGTCCTCATTGTGATCAGGTTTAGTCCATCTAAATGGCTGCTTTTGCAACAAAACCTGCTAAAATGCAATTGCTCTCAAGTGTTGAAGTTTGAGTGAGATTCACTTACAATCCCAGACTCTTTTTTAATGGAGAAAAGCCCCAGAGTCAGCACTAGTTCTGCAGGGAACTGGGACTTTTTCTTTAAAAAAAGGCAGAGGCACCGCACAAAGGGACAGAAGATCTTGAAGTGGGTTGTTTGTCCTAGTGAGGACACAGGAAACAACAGGGCAACCATTTTCATTGTACATTGTACTTGGTGCATCCAAGTCATTTGGCTTTGCGGGCCGAATCTGGACTGCAGGACTTCTCACAGGCTGGATGACTCACCTCTGACAAGGGGGTTGATGGCTTGTCTGCACAGCTGTTGGAGCTGCTGTATTGGCATGGTTCTGTCACTTAAAGGGTGAATGCCTCCCCCATTTCTCCCCTAGCACAATTTTTGTCACCAATGGCAACCAAAGATCCTAAATCCAGTGGTAGGTAAGGGGAAGGGAGCGAGTAGCAGCAACGTTCACCCTCTGGGTTCTGGAGCTGCGCCAAACCAGCGGCTGCAGCAGCTGTACTGACAAGTAGGGCTGTGCGAGGCTTCAGGTGGTGATTTGATTCAGAGCAGATTCGGCTCGATCCGGTGGCCAAATCTCCAAATCTGAATCGAATCAGGGGACCAGGAAAAAGGTCCAAATCGATTTGAAGCTCTCTGAATCTTCGGAAAAGATTTGGAGAGCTTCAATGATTTGGGCAGTCCCCGCCTGCTGCAGCATGGAGCTGGAGCCGGACTCAGAGCTGGTAAATAGGGGGGTGGAG